ATTGACCAATGACGTGTCTGATAATTTATGTCACGTCAACTAGTGACATATTTTAAATGAATTTTTTGGATACTCTTGGTATAGTCTTTGGAGTAGCGAATACATGGATATATTTTAAAGTATTACTTGTGAATTTCAAATATTTATAAACAACTAGTGATATGAAATTTCTCATAGCATAAAATAGGACTTGTTTGTAAAATTTTAAAAGTTAAGATGTAATAAAGCAAAACAATTACACAGATACTAAAACATAATTTCACCACTCAAATTAATAGACCAATTTAGTTACTAAATTGCAATAAAATTTAATTTGAGTACTAAAATGGAATTTTTCCAAAAAGTGTAAATCTTTTGCTCGAAAACTCAAACTAAAAGAACTCTAAAATTCTGAAATACCAAAATTTGTGAAATCAATATTTAAACAACGAATTTGAATTTCATATATTTCAATTGCAATCATTTCGAATTCATGATTTCAAATACATGCATTTGAAATAACATGATTGACTATGTTGTCCAGGTTTTACTGAAGCAAGTGTGGCCTGTTGCGGGCAGGGTCCTTATAACGGGGTTGGCCAATGCACACCTGCATCAAATCTTTGCTCAAATCGGGATGAGTATGTTTATTGGGATTCCTACCATCCAACAGAGAGATCAGCCGAGGCAATACTCGAGGTGATCCTGACAGGTCCTCCAAACGTCATCTCCTCAATGAATCTCAACACCATGATGGCCGCAAACACTGAGACTTAATTTTAAATCATCCAGATTTATACATAATAAAGAAGTTTGTACTTCCAGTTGACATTTTGGTCAGACACCTATGAGCTATATATGACTATGTTGGTCTTTGCATTTATAAGGGCAGGTAGATCATAGTAAAACATGATCGTTTTTTTATCCCTTGAGCTCACTATATAATATATGCTACCAAAAACTCAGTCCCGAAGCTCTAGAAGAAGTGGGACGTAGAGGTCCACCCAGAAAGAGGGAGCCGTCTAAACCACCCAAAAGCATGGCCCACAAATCAATGACATGTTGTTTTCTCGTTTCTATGTCGTTTATGTGTTTTTTTTTTTTTTTCTTCAACTATGAGTAGCTAATACAATTTGTTATTTAGGTCTGTGGAACCTAGAATGCTTCAAGATAGTTTTATGATTATTTTATGATAACAAAATATCTATTGAGTTCTTATTATCCTATTTCGTGGTTCTGGTATTGCTAATAACATGGTTAATTACTGCGCATCATATGAGTATGAGCGGAAAAGACGCATCATATGAGTAGTCGCATGTTATATATACAAGCTCAGCTATGCTAATTGTACTTATGGACAACAATGGAGTTATATAAGTTGGTGAGTGATAGGGTGAATTATGAATTGGAACTCGATTATATATGTTTGACTTGATCTATATGTCAAGCTCGAATCTCTAGAGGGAACTAACCTAGATAACATATTTACTCTCTGTTGATGTCATTTTACTAATTTGATACTCTTTTCTTTTCCTATAAGGTTGTGTATTCTGGTTAGCACTAATCAATCAGCCTTTAAGGAAGATTGATTAGTAATAACATACTCTAGACACATGAAATTATTAACTGGAATAATAGAAAGATAGTGTCACCAAGATGTGCTCTAAAATTGACATAATGAAGGTGTTTGATAGTGTCAATTGACAATTTTTGTTAGCTGTTATGTTTGCTATGGGTTCCCATCATAGTTGGATGGTTGGTTAAGGTGTCTTTCCAATACCACCTTTCAAGTTTGCATCAATGGAGATTTATTTGGGAATTTTCGTGCAAAGAATATTGACGCAAGGATTCCATTTTCCTTCTTCTCTTGCAATTTTCATGGAAGTGTCATCCTGTATGCTTAGCAGAGCAACAACTACAAAGTATTTTCCATTCCATTCAATCCATAGTATAGATTGAACACATTTAGTATTTGCTGATGATTTGTTAATCTTTAGCAAAGGATCTACCTAGGGTGTTAAGGTTGTTGCAAAGATTCTAGATCAGCTCTATAGGGTCTCGGTTGAATAGTAACAGGAAAGATTGAGATGTTTAATGCTGAGATAGAGGGAAACAGAAGGAGGAAGTGATACACCAGTGAGGATTCAAGGATGGGTTCTTACCTATAAATACTTAGGTGTTCCTTTAATTCCAGGAAAGTTGAACTTGGAGGAATGCAGAGCCCTTGTAGATAAAGTTCACAAAATATATACAAGGATGGAAAGCACATTTACTCTCCTGTGAAGGCAAGGTACAAATTATAGTGGCAGTTCTGGCTAGTGTCACTTAGTTTTGGATGAGGTTTTTTATCGAACTTCTAGGCACAGTTGTAAAAGAGGTAGAGAGATTATGCTAAGAATTCCTCCGTCTTCTAGTTCTAAAATGAAGAAGGCTTAAGTATCTTAGCAATTTATAGCTATACCAAAAGAGGAAGGTGGGTAGGAATTAAAGACCTAAACAATTGGAATACTGCTTGTGTTGTTGAGACATGTACGGTCAGTTTTAGCTCATAAAGAATCTCTATGGATTGCCTTGTTAAAAGAATAGAGGCTTCACAATATGAAATTTTGGGAAGTAAGCAATCTTGGATCCTGGGCATGGAATAGGATATTAAAGACCATAGCAGTGGTTGAAGGGAAGATGTTGGTTGTATCAAAAGGGGTGATGTGGAAAAATAAGCTAATGGTGACATACTCAGTAAGTAACATTTGGGAGGAGTTGAGACCAAAACAAGCATAGGTCTCGTGGTTTAAGTTGAATCAGAAACGCTTCATGATTCCAGGAACTCGATTATTGCATGGTTAATACAGATGACCACTCTAGATAAAGTGACGAACTAGAAACCTGAAGTGAATGCTTGCTCCATATTATGCCTAGACTATACCGAGTCTAGATATCATATATATTTTGAGTGTGTCTTTGTGAAACAAATCTTCCAGGGACATATATACCTCATGGAGATAGGAAGCAGGGGTGTTGCTGACAGTTGAGAGGTTTATACATTGCATAATTGATAGCATGGTATGGAACCTCTTTGTGAGTGAGATATGGCCTGAAAGATGTTGACATGTGTTTTGAAAATACGGACAGCTCCTGAATTGGTTCAAAAAATAGTGAAAGTAATTGAATGGAAGTTGGCATGGATATGGATGCTACTTGTGTTGCATCTAAGAAGTCTTTAGTTTCAATAAATCTGATTTAGTTTATATATATACAAAGTATTTCAAAGCAAAGAAAGAAGAGGAATGAAGAAAGAAAAGGGGTCAGGGAGATCTTGCTTGGTGCGAGGGCTGCAGGTTCGGGGGCAAGGTACTGTACTAGAGGTCCTCGGACTTCCAAGTGGTCACCTCACTCTCCAACATTAGTTGTATTTTAGCAACATGGGGCAAGGAGTCCCTTAGATATGATGAAAAATGGGTCTTGTTCTATCCTTGATTAGAGATATCTCTATGAAAAATATGAATAAGAGTTTGAAGAAAGGAGAAGAAGAGCTGGAAATGACTACTATTACCCCATCAAATCATCATGCCCCTTATTCTCTGGGTGACACACGTGCTACAATGGCCAAAATAGAGGGTTGTAACTCCAAAAACTCGTCCTCGGTTTGGATTACAAGCGGTAACTCGCCTGCATGAAGCCGGAACAAGGAAGTAGTGTGATAGGAAGATCATTAGTAGGGTAGTTTGTAACTATTAACTCTTTTACTTGCTCAAAGTGAGCACCTTTTGATGAAATACATGCATTACTTACCTAAACAGCTCCTAAGCTGGTTCACAAAATGCTGAAAGTAATTGAATGGAAGTTGGCTGGGGATATAGAAGCTACTCATGCAGCATCTAAGAGAAGCCTTTGGTTTCAGTAAATGTGATTTAGTTTGTATAAATATAAAGTATTGCACTAGGAAGTAGTATGATAAGAAGATTATTAGTAGTGTTATTAAGACCGAGCCGAGCTGGCCGGACCGCTAAAGATGCCACTCGGCCATAAAACCGGCTCAGATCAGTCATTTAGTCATTCTGATTTTTTGGAGCGGCCAAGGCGGTTAACAGCTTGAGCTGCTCGAGCCGGTCGCTCGGTCCTCCCCCCCCCCCCCCCCCCCCCCCCCGGTCATTCTGATTAATAAAAAAATAAAAAACTGAAAACCATAAAATGAAAGGCAAAATCGTCGGGGGCTGGAAAAAAAACCCTAGGGACCTATCATCTCCTTCGTCTTCTTTGCGAACATGGAGAGACGAGCGGCGCCAAGCTCTACCACCATCGACACTTCTCGCCCCGGCTTCGGCGCTTCCTTCGCCGTTTTCCCCATCCCTCCTCCCTGCTGTAGATCCCCGCTCGCCATCGTCATCGCCCGTCTCACCTGCTCCAGCGCTACTCCTCGGAGTAACTCCCATCTCCTGCTCCGGTTGTCTCACCTCTGCAGCATCTCCCATCGGCCCGTATCTCCTCCGCAGCGTCTCCCACCGGTTATCTCACCTCCACATCATCTCCCACCGGTCACTGCCCTGCTCGACTCAAGGTAAGTTAAGTGATTAATTGTGAAGTTGAACACATTTTATATTTTAATTTCAACCGTGAACAGGAGGCCACTGATTCAATTGTTGTTTGATTTTAATGTTTGATTTGGTTGAGAATCAGCCCAGTTCATTTGCCTGATTCGGTGTTTCTTTTGTAGATGAGTAATCCAAATCCAGATAGTGGTGGTACCCAATCAACAACACCGAGCTATACTGCTTCCACAATGCAAGCTGGTCGGGCAAAGATCGATCCATCTTGGAATTACGTTCAAGAAATCAAATATGATAATGTGAAGGTAAAGGCACTTAAATGCATGTTGTGTGGAATTGTCGAAAAAGGAGGAGGGATTCATGGGATGAAAGAGCATCTTGCTCATTCTTCAAAAGGTAATATTGTGAAATGCTCAAAAGTTCCCTATGATGTGTGTGTGAGGTTTTCCCATATTCTTAAAGAATATGATGAAAAAAAGGAAGGGAAGAATAAATCTAATGATCCTAGCATTGATAGAAAAGAGGATGATATGTTTGAGTTAGTTGGAACACCAGCAACTAAAGATTTTAGTGACTTGATGAAGAAAGCTAAGGAGCTTATTTTTTGCTCCAAGAACCACTCTTGGGTCTCAACCAGGCATCAAAAGTACAATGGCTACTCAGGATGCAATTCATAAAGCCCATATTGTAGTTGCAGAATTCTTCTATGAGTTGATCTGTTGATGCAAGCTATGGCTGAGAATGATGTTAATGACATTCCTGGAGGAAGTGGAGCTACAAGTAGGAAAAGAGGTCGCAATGAAGGTTAGATTGACATATTAGTAAATGAAAAACTGTAAACTTTGATACATTTTTAACTCATGAATTCTTATATAGTTTTTGTTTTCTTATCAGGCGATGATGGAGATGATTGTAGCACAGCAATTGGCATGGTGTCCTCAAGCAGTGATTCATCGTATGCTAGTGGTGGTGAATGAGATGACGTTGAAGTTGTATTTGATAGTTGTTCACTTGTTTGAGTTTGAGACTTTCAGTTGTTTCCATGTTTGAGACTCTTGTTTCATGTTCAGACTCGTGTGACATTGCTTTTATTTTGGAACAATGTGGTAGTTTGGAATTGGATTTTAGAACTTTTGGTACTCATGTTCTAGAATTGTTAAGAGTGTAATTTACTGATTTATTCATGGTTTACCATGATTAAGAAGTTTCCACTATTCATACTGATTGTTTATTAGGTATCGGTTCTCTAATGGTTTTTCAACGATCTAATGTCGGTTGGACCGCTAAAGACCGAGTCATTCACATTATCGATTCGTACTCCGGTTCGCTGCTGACAACATTGATCATTAGTAGGGTAGTACTATGAACTCTTGTACCTACTCAAAGCGAGCACCTTTTGATGAAATACATGCATTACTTAAAAAAAGATTTCGTATTCTTATCTTTATGCGTCTGTGCTCTTTAATTTCACGCTCTTTAGTTTAATTGTTTCATTTCGTTGTAGTAGCTTTAAAGTTCATTTGGTGGCGCCTCAACCATGGACTTTTTTGGAATACTAGTAGTTGGATCGAAACAGTGAAGAGAAAGAGAGGCTAGTGAATACAATCCCAGTAGTTTTCTTGCCATGAGGATTATTTTTGAAAAACTATTCTACAATGGATCAAATCTTGGGGCCGTTACCGTCACCACTTTTCTCCCATTAAAAATAATAAATTGCTTTCGTTGTTTTAATTTTCTTCTTGTTTTGGGTCATCCTTCCTGACTTGATTCTCACACTTTGTTATGAAAACACACAGAAAGAGGGGACAACTATCGCCACTGCCAGCGTAAAAAAATGAGCAATCTCTCAGCTGGAGGAAGGTAAATCATACAAACTATCTTCTGGCAAAATTATGCATGATGTTTAGCAAATTATAGCTATTTTGTAGAACTTTCTGGAGTTGAAGGAAAATATTTCACCCACCAATGAATCTCATATGTTCAAGACCACCCTCAAACCCATCTCCGGGATGGTCCAGACCACCATCAAAAAGGAAAATCCATATTCTGTAAGTTTGAAGATTTCACAAAAAAACCTAAGAAACAATGAGATATGAAATTGACTAGCTAATGTGTGCTTTCACTTCATGTCGTCACCTAATCAATGAAGAACAAGGAAGTTAGGATAACATATGGTTAAGTTTGGGCATCTTAATCCATAACTCATAGTGTATAGCATCGATGGTCTAAGAATTAAGCATTGATCTCATGTAAACGTGCATAGATGCTTCCAACTAAACAAGCATGCACAAGACAATGGGATATCATAAAAGGGTAATTTCTTAACAATCTTAATGATATTAAGCACGATACTATAATAGCATACAATAGGGATCACACGTATAGAGTAATTAAACATTAAATCATATAGAGCATCGATGATATAAACAATAGATGAATAAAGCATCCCGAACACAATAAAGCATCTAAACGGATAAGCATCGATTACCATAACATTGAATGAAATAAGCATCTTATTAAATAATAAAAATGCATACGCATTATAGAATTCACATCCCTAAGTAGATAGAGCTAGCGATACAAGAGAGAATAGGAAGACATCACCTATGATGAAGAACATCGATGGTGAATCATCCTAGTCCAACTCCAGCAGGGCTTCGAGTTCTCTTTATGGATCCCTAACTTGTGCCTAGTGGGCAAGAGTGTTGGCTAAAGGTGTATTCAGAGCTCTAGCCTAATCTCCTATTTATACTAGTTACAGAAGTGGGGTTTCTAGTCTTTTTACTCTAAATTTGGCCAAAACCTTCTGTGTACTACTTGAATTCGAATTCCTTCGACTTGTGGATAAAGTAATCTGGTTCTGGAAGATTATTGAGCATGTGTTTGAGTGTTGGGACAAACTGCCACTGGGTTGCCACTCTTATGTTTGTTGGGCTTGGTTTCTTGACCCATAAGCAAATCCTTCTCTAAATTTGGGCTTGATTGGACTTATAGAACTCCAGTTGGACCTTGATCAAAGTTGGGCTTGCTGCACTACTAGATCTACTTGTTTTGCCATAAACTGAGCAATTTGATGTCCAAATCCATCTTCATTTGGGCGCATGTGCTTATATTATCATCCTCCTTCTGATCCATTGGGTCACTTGACGATCCATATTCACCTTGAGTTTATTATATCCTTGAAAAGAACCAAAAAACACCAAGAAGCATAAATAGTACGAAAACACATTCAAGGTCCATCATAAGCTTATAAATCAAATAGTTATTCTATATATGAAATATAATAAAAACTACTAAAGATGCAATGGTAGCAGGGGAAAGTATCAAATATGAGAACGATAAACACTATGAATCGACTGTCATCGTGTCTTCTTGGGGCACATTGATGAGGATTCAACCCCCCTGCAAGATTTTTATAGATTGATGTGTCCATTGTACCTTAGGGATTCTCTAGAGATGTAATCAGACTAGGTCACATCTCTTTCTCATTAACAAGAGAGGAGAAAGTGTGGTTGAGATATCATCTAGCAGGAACTTTCATAATGTGGGATTATCTTTCCTAATTTTTCATGGAAGAATACTTCCATATTTAGAAGATTGATGAGATAAAAGAGAAGATATCGAGATTCAAACAAAGAGAGATCGAGGCACACTATGAGGTATGGGCTTGATGCCAAGCTTTACTCTTATCTTGCCCCATTATGGGTTAGTTCGAAACAACAGACCAACTTGTTCTAAAAGATTCTAAATGATCCTACAACTCATATAATTAATCTATATGTCAATGAAGACATTATCCATTCTAGTCCAGAAGAAACTAAATATTATGAATCCATGGCTCGCAAAACAAAGAATTAGGCATGTAAGATAGCTCACAAACAATTAAATTAATCCACACAGACAACTCCAAACCCTTTTATTGTTCTTCTAGAGTAAAAGGATTTCTAACAAACAACCAAGTTTCAAGCTCAATTTACCTTTTATACACAATCTTATGAACAGTGTGAGGAGATGTGAGGCAACCAGGCAAAGAATATTATGAAGTTGACAATCTCTCATCTTAGCGTAAGTATCCAGATTGTAGGAAGAATCACAACGAAAAGAAAGTTACTCAAGTTGTTCCTATGCAAAAACCAGTTCAATCACCACCGTGGTAAGAGCGATAGATGCTTGAACTTCAAACCAAACAATCGAATCTTTCAAATTAATATGGAACAAATTCTTCATAAATCAAAAGGTTTTCAAAAACTAATTCTTGGCCAAAATCCTTATTTTCAAATTCAACAAGCAATCTACGTTGTAGTTCTCACATTTTGAGCTATTTATAACTTCATTTTTTTTATATTTCTTATTAATAAAATGTTTGAAATGAATATAAAATATTGATAAATTAATTATTTTTAAAGTCTTTAATTTATTTATAAGCACAAACGGATTGCACCAAATAGCCATTTATAAGGTTGTGGTTAATATAGAGTAAATACGATGTATGAGCCAAAATTGATAAAATATTAAATAAATCTTTCAAAATGCAAAAAAAATTCATAATTGATTCTTGGCCAAAATCCTTATTTTCAAATTCAACAAGCAATCTACGTTGTAGTTCTCACATTCTGAGCTATTTATAACTTCATTTTTATTTTTATATTTCTTATTAATAAAATGTTTGAAATGTATATAAAATTTTGATAAATTAATTATTTTAAAGTCTTTAATTTATTTATAAGCACAAACAGATTGCACCAAATAGCCATTTATGAGGTTGTGGTTAATATATTGAGTAAATACGAGTTATGAGCCAAAATTGATAAAATATTAAATAAATCTTTCAAAATGCAAAAAAATTCATAATTGCCCAAAATTTTAGCATACCATTCTAATAAATGTGCTAAATGTGCTCCATGTTAGCGTCTACGTTAAATTTCACGTCAAATTCTATCAAAATTTGACATTTACTTTTTTAGTCATTGAATTTATTATGTAAATATTGATATATGGATGACCAATGGCCTACCACATTAGATGCTCACTTGGGAGTTACATGTAACTCCTATTTCTACATCATTATCTCTCATTCATATGCATTGATATAAGGATGTAGTGGTTACCAAAGTGTGCCTATAAATATAGCACACCATTATATCAAAAGTGAAGAATGAATAAGAAGAACTCTTCCCTCTCTTCTCTTGTGTCTTTCCCTCTCTAATCATCTCTTGTAGTTGCTTATATTTTCATAGTTTCATAACACGTTATCAGCACGAAGCTCTGCTAGCATCATGGTTGGTCATTGTCTCTTTACACAATCCAGTATATTGGAGTAAGATCACAATATGATCAAGGTATGTAAATCTTATATCCTTTCTTATCTTATTGTCTTATTTGTGTTGACATTATCTCATTCCAATATATCAAGATGGGCGCTACTCTTTTCTCGTATCCATTGATATTTTATCACATCAATCTATTTGGATTAACAAAGTAATATAAGTGATGAGTTAATTTTTCAGTTCTCTGTGTTATCCTATTCTTATCAATCCCACATTGATATGTAGAAAATGCAAGTTCCAAGAGCCCATATATTCCCCAGAAGTGGAAATTGAAGAATTCAAAGGCAAATAAAGAAAAAAACATGGTAATAAGAATATTGGTTTTGTATGTTACCATTGTAATGGAAAATTGCATTTGTCTCGTACCCGTTGTACGCAAAAGACCCTATTCTACCAAGAATCAAAGGGAAAAGCTAATTCATATACGCTCTTGCAATATCAATATAATGGAACATATTTTTTGTATTATAAGTTGGTATATTCTCCATTAAAGATGAAAATGAAATTGCACTTGAGACATTTTCATTCCCAGAAGTGAATGAAACAATCTATTCCCCGAAGTGAATGAAGCTATAAACATGATTATATATATGTTAAATGTATTGTTTAGATCTTTTCACCAGAAGTGAGAAAAGAGGAGAATTATAAATAAGGATGACACAACAATTGCATTATCAAAGTCATGATAACATAATGTAC